ATCCCACGCCGCCACCATGCTGCGTCATGGCTTGTCCCTCACAAACCCTCGTGCTTTTCCACTTGTTGGCCACAGCTCCACAGAGTCTCATCGCGTGTTGTTTGTTGATTGCTTAGTCAATGTTGAAAGCAAATGAGGTGTGGACCAAATCATGGAAGAACCTTGGACAAAGAAGTACATTTAATAGCGTGGACAACCATACCCCCAGGAGCGCACAACGCATGCCTGACCGGCAGCGAGGCCCCAGAAACCACTAGATTGGCATCAGGTTCAACAAAAATGAACTTCAGTACCAACACGTGAAGCATCTATGCACGCATCTATACTGCAGGCAGGACACTTGGCGCTTGGCAAATTCAACTGGCTTCATCAATGGGTCAATGGCCCAGAAGCTGGCAGTGGTTGGTTCCGAGCGAGCCATGACCCTTCAAAGGAAGAGACAAGATTGCAGATGTTCCTGTTGGCCAACTTGATGAAGTTGCAAGTTCTTCTTGCCGAGCACGCCAGCTGTTCTGTAGGTAAACCAAGCCTTGAAAAGGGGTATGACTTTGTATGGAGAAAGAGCATTAAGCTACGGAAAAGTTCACAATCTCGGTTTTTGAGCTGCTGCCTGACAGCAGCATATCAGGCCTGGAGGCCTCGTGCTGAGCAAGGTGTGGCGAGTCCAGGCCGTGCTTTGCTATCTCCGCCAGGTTCCTAGGTCCTGGCGCTGGCGGCTTTTGGCGCGCGGCCAGCAGAGCCAAACTTGCAGTTCATCTGCGGGGCGGCCAACTGTTCGCCTTTGGCGGCAGGTCCAGAAGAGATGCGCTTGATCCGCTCTCTGGCTCCCGCACAAAAAAAGGCTCCCGCGCAGCACGAACCGAGAGTTTACGGGTTTACGGGAGGTCCTAGGTCGCACACTGAAAGCCGCTGGGCTGAAAGCGCTTGGCTGAAGAAGCTTCCATTCAGGACAGCCGCTGCTGGGCCCTGTGTGCTTGGTAGTACCTCTCTGACAAGGTTGTTGCTGTTGTGGGGCGTTCGCGAAGAGGTTCCATTGCTGAGCCCTTCGAGGCTGGCGTCGTGCTGTGTGGTGTCCGTCGCTCACTGGTGCTCCTCTTTGCGTACAGAAGCACTTTCTCTGCTCCTGTGACCACCTGCAGCGCCCTTACTCCGAAGAGCGCATTGCGCAGGTGCTTGGAGCCTCCTCTGAAAGCGCGGCTTGTGCTTCTCAAAGCTTTGTTGAACCGGGCAATTCCGAACTGGCTGGCTTGTTTGTGACCCATCCGTAGGCTGCCTTGCAGAGGAAATCAGCCATGATGCGGCGCTTTGCCTGCTGTAGCCGTTGTCGCTGGCTGCGCAGCATCCGAGGATACAGGCTGACTGAACTACAGTGGTCTGCGATTTCGGCCTGAGGTTTTCCAGCTGAGGCTGTCGCTGTTGTTCCTGGCTTGTACAGGTTGTTTGCGTTTTGCTGGTGTCCAGTGCGCGTGTGAAGCTGTGCTGAGTGCTTCGCTTTCGGACCAAGCAGATCCGTACCATTTGTAGAACAGAGGTTAACCTGTCGGCTCCACCTCAGGGTGTGCGGAGTGGTGCCCGCAGCTGTTTTTCTGGGAAACCTTCGTCTTGCCTTCTGCTGCTGCGAGGGCTGCTGCGGCGTTTGCTTTGTAAGGAGACTGTATTTTTTCCTTAGCTTGTTGCTGGGGATGTCTTCTTTCCGTTTCCACCAGCTCCACCAGTTGCGAAGCTTTGGCCAGCCAGCTGCTTTGCTTCCGGTGCGCCATGGAGCCAAGCCACCTTTGGGGAGGACATGGGATCCACTGCGCCTTTGGTGAAGTAGGCTTTGGCTGTGCTGTGGCCGCCCGCTGTTGCCACTGCCGGAAGGTGGTTTGCTCTGCTGCGTTCGCTGGTTGCTGCTGTAGTTGCGCTGCCGGAAGGATGTTGTGTAGTGTGCTCCCGTGTCCACCTGCTGCTATGTGGGTGTCGAATGGCTTTTCCACGGCAGACACCTTTTTCCCATTTGAACTGTGGCAGTTGCCACTGCGCGCCTTGGCGCTGGTCATGCAGTTTCTGTGAAGTGCTTTGGGGTAGTGCGTTGGGAGATTCCTGGACCGTTGCTCCACTCGAAGTCTGTGACCGGGGTGCCAGGCGCATCCGTCTGTCAGGAGGTGAGGCCTGACAGGCATCCCAAAGCAATATCCCGCTGCTGTAGCTGCAAAGCATCAAGTCGAGAAGGGAAAAAGATGCGTATGCCGTTAGAGTGACATACATAGGAATGACTTCATTTATATTTGTTTTAGTGAACACTGCTTGCTAGCAAAGGTTGCGGTGTGTTGGAGAAGGTCCTCATGGTTTTCTCTGTCGGAGAGGACATCGCTGTCATCTCCATGACTCGGATTTTGCGCCTGGTGCGTATTTTCCGTTTGGCCCGACTTCTCCAGAGGACTAAGTCTTTGCGAGAATTGTCAAAACTGGTGAGAATGATGGCGACTTGTCTGAAGGCTTTGGCATGGTCCTTCGTTTTTTGTTTTATGATTATGACAGTCTGGGCCATGCTGATGGTGGAACTGATCCATCCACTGGTCAAGCAACTCTATGGCGATGGTATTTGGTCAGATTGCGGCGAGAGGTGTCTGACGGCAACTTCCTCGGTTATGGACGCGAATCTGCTGCTTTTCAAAACGGTGATAGCTGGCGACAGCTGGGGGGAGATAGCGGTGCCGGTGATTCAACAGTTCCCAGCCACTGCCATCATTTTCATGGGTTCTTTACTGACGCTGGTGTTTGGCGTGCTGAAACTTGTCTAAACATTGCACAATGCTGAGGATGTTTTTACCTTGTTGGCTAGCGAAAACAACTCCAGCTGTGAAGTTCTAAGTCAAGACCAGGAACCTCATTGTTGCAGTTGTGGTTGATACGTTTGCAGAGGCGCGTCAGCGCGATGTATTGAATCTTGCAGAGGAGTTGGAGTTCGATCTTGCAAATGACAAGAAAGTGCTGCAACGAATGTTCGACCGCATGGATGCGGATGGCAGCGGGTGCGTAACCTTTGAAGAGTTAGTAGAAGGTGCGCGAGCCGATGCCGAGTTCCAGAGCAGGCTACGTGTCATGGACATAGACGAGGCTGACCTGCAGCAGCTCTTTGAGATGATTGACAGCTCGGGGCAAGGTGAGATCGAAAGTGCTGAGTTCATCGCTGCGTTGAGCCGCTGGGTTCACGACTCCAAGACAGCGCCGCGCTTCGTGAAGTATAACATGCTGAGATCTCTGCAACTGCAAGACGCGTTTATGCAGAAGACGAACAGCCAGTTTGAGGTTTTGGCAGCCAGAATGGTGCCTTAGTTAATTGGGCGGCAGGAAACTGGACATGCACATGTTCGCTTTTGGGAAGACGGCAATGACTAAAGACTGGAATTGGGGACCTTCAGGCCCTTAAGGGGGGGGGGAGTTTTTGATTGTCAGGACTACATGACATTTGCGATGGACAAGCTCTGCCACATGCAGGGAGTTGAGGAAGACTACTTCGGGGATGCCACTCCAAACCTCGTGGAGTCGAGAATTTCGGAGGAAAGCAAAGACGCAAATATCGCGGTGGATATGCCAGAGGACGTAGTGGAGCAGCCACGCGCTTCGTTGCAAACGGTCACCATGGGAGCTGAGGCAGGCTTCAAGCCCTTATTTCAGAGCACCGCCCTTTAATCAGGGGATCACATGGCCAAGTTGGGGGTGGCATGCGCTTGCTCGGGGCATGCATTTGGCGCAGGTGGAAAGAGCAAGGGAGAGCGCTTTGGACAAGTTGGAGCGCCACGTTCTCCGTGCCACGGAGACGGCGCTGAAGCAGTCTTTTGCCATGTTGGAAGCAGACATGCCATCCGTGACATCTGGGAGCGTAACCAGGAGGTCACCATTCAATTTCAAGGCAGATAGCTTGGAATCGCTGAGGGGGAGGGTGTCGCTCCAGTCGGCAGAGTCTCGAAGGGCCCCCGAGATTGCCAGGATGAGAAGTTTGGAGATGACCAAAATAAAGAGCACGGCTTCGTCATCTCCCTTCAGGCGGACAGGGCTCGGCATCGACGCCAGCCTTGAGCTGTCAAAGGCGTTGGGGTCGCGCAATGCGTGCGAAGAGATCCAGGACATCCACAGAAAGCCGTTTCGAGCTGGGAAGCCTGTCCGGTTCGATGAAGAAGGCAAACCCATCCGCGTGCCAGTGGGGACTTTCAGCGCCCCCGTAAAGGGGAGGCACTTGGATCTTGGCACTGGATCAGCCTAGCCCCTTGATAATTCTTCCAATTGTCACACAGGCAGCTCTGCCTGGGCGTTGGCCCAGCTTGCAAAGCGCAATGGTACTTGCACCTAAAAATTCAAGCTATGCGTGTTACTCCTCCTGTTTGCCCACCCACCTCCGCCACTAGCGCTTTTTCCCACGTCCAAAACCCCAAGCGCTGTTCGACAAGCAGTCGATTCAGTGGCTCTGTGTTGATAAAGGTGCAAGTGCCCTGCTTTGCTCACCCACGCAGCTTTGCGTTGGACTCCAGGGTGTGACCACGCTCCACACGAAGCACTCACACTTGGTTGTTTAAAGCGAATTGCCCTTCAAAACGAGATCGATGCAGCCATTTGGATGTTGAGAGAAACAAGCAGATTAGTTTGGCGGGAGCTGGCGCGTCCCGGCAGGACGTGCAGTGAAGAGACTGCTGGAATGTCCTTTACTCAAGTTAGATGTCTTGTTTGGAGAACACAGACCTTGCACTCTCGGTCGGCAGCCCTTAGGCTGCAGGCCATGTTTCGCTTGCGGAGCTGTCGTCAAGTGGAAGCTCGGAGAACCAAAGAGCCAGCTTGGCAAAGTCATCCCGTCGCGGGGGCACGCCTCTCGTCTCCTCGAAGAGGGGGCTAGCTGATTCGTTTCACCAGAGACTCAAGGTGTTTCCAAAAGGGCGGTGCATTCATTTGCAGGGGTTCCTTGAGAGGGCGGCTCTCTTCAGGGAAGGACAAGCCAACAAGGTGTTGGGACTTACTGCACTCAGGAACTTCTGCACAGCGTCATCACCAAAGTCCTGGGGCTCCTTGCCACGAGCGGAGGATCATGATGCAACCGGGGGTTTGAATCCCCATTCATTCCCGAAGTGAGGAACTCAGAGGAACCCATGAAATTCATACGGTCCTTTGCAATGCTATATGATGCCTGCTGTTTTGGACCTCCCGCAGGTGTCCGGCGTCGCCAGCCGCAGTGGGTTTGAGTTAGAATCATTTTGGATAAGCAAGGTTGCCGATTGCCCAGAGCCACATCAAGAATTGTGCTGTTTGCCCCCGACTTGATTTGGGTAGGCCTGTTCAATGCTTGGCTTTGATCGTGACTCGGTACTTTGCCAGCGACTTCCAGCTGAGGAACAACCAATCTCCACACAGTACCTCGGACACCATTGAAAATGCAGCTTTTGCTGAGGGAGTGTGGGCGCGCAAAAGGACAATTTGTTCTACATGTTTCTATCCTTCAGGCTCGATGATCCTGTGAAGGGCAGAATTGAGGCTTCAAGCCATTTGGGGCAGACCTGCCTGCTTCTGTGACAGTGTCTTCGGAGCCCCGCACGTCGTTATATCAGGCATTCCGGGTCTCATTTCCTCGCGTGGTGCCGTGGCTCAAGGAGCATTGCTCGGCTGAGGCGCGAACGCGCTGCTCGGCAAAGTGCTGGGCCCGGACGGCAACTTCTCCCTGGATTCCGTGATTGATCTTCCTTTGTCCAAGGCAGGCAGAAGGGGCGGCCATGAAGTCAAGCGGAACCCCCTGAAAATGGGTGGTGAATGGGAGCCCCCATGTAAATGATGTCCACCAAAGCGGCCCCCTATTCAAACTCAGGCCAACAAAAGCGAGATTGGGACGTGCCTGCTACGTAGGTTGTGAGTGTTGACAAGCTGGGGACCATCAACATCACCCTGCAGAATTTGTCCTTCAGCCATTGCCTCAGAAGCCTTCCTTGGTTGGTCAGCCGGGCTGACTCGAAGAGTTGCGCCTTATTTCAAGACCCCGGCGGAGCGCTTCACAGTGACGGTCTGTCCAAGGTTGCATGTCGCATGTGATTTGCACAGTTCCCAGAGCTTCTGCCTGACTAAGGGGCAGAGTTGCAAGTAAGCACCCATTCAGTGACTTGGGGTGGGCAGGGATGAGTCACAGGGATGAGGGGTTGTAGCCGGACATTCGAAGGATCGCATTCCGGGCACCATGGCATGTCTCATTCAGGTCACCCCCCGAAATTGCCACAGTTCCTGGAGCCACACAAAAGGTTGGTTTTCCGTTTCGACTCAGCCACATGGGTCACGACCAAAGTAGCCTGGAGGTCACTTGAACACGGTGAGCGCCATGAACTTGCACAGCCCGCAGCCCCAGGAGGTCCAGCTGCTACTGGCCATGCAGCAGATGAACATGCAAGCCAGGCCTTTGGGATATCAGATATCAGGCTCCGAGTTCCCTGCAGTTCCCGACCTTTTTGAGACACGGCTTCGATCCGCAAGCCGTGTGACTGATATTCATTACGACTTTGTTTTGAGGCAGGCATGCTGAACTGCAAATTCGGAGGTTCACGCGCCGCGCCCCGTTGTTCGATATGTCTGTGGACCTGATACTTTAGAGCCTCCGGCTCAGTCCGCCGACATTGGCATCTAGCTTGTCTCCTTCTTCCTCTCGCCCGTGTCCCCCTAGTATGCTCTTCTGTCCTCTCTGGTTCCCCCATCCTCCCCGACACGCAAAACACCATGCTTGTTTCTCCAGACCCGCTCCCCGAAGACTACGTTTAGTGGAACGTCATGTCGGCGGAATCGCAAAACACCATGTTGTTTCAATGGTGTCAGCAAAGGGAAAACACCGAACACCGTGTGTCTCAAAGTTTTCCGCACAAGGCAGCTTCCAGTGATTGAAGACTCGTCATAGGGTCCCGTCGGGGCATCGCACGGGTCGTGACAAGACGCAAGGGTGTGAACAGGACAGGATTTTCCAGAGCACACTCGGAGCCGGGATTGAAGACTCGTCATAGGGTCCCGCAGGGGCATCGCAAGGGTCGTGACAAGTCGCAAGGGCGAAGACTTTGTTTAGTGGAGCGTCATGAAACTGCCGCACGGTCGGCCAAGTATCCGACACGAAGGACATTGGGGGCGACACTTGGAAGGAAGCTGGGGTTGGGGAATTTGCCTGGACATTTGGGGAAACTGGGGGGGAAATTGGGGGGAAGTCGGATGGAAATTGAAAGGAAAGTAGGAGGGATTTGGTGAGAAAGTAAGGCGCAATTTGCGGGGAAGCATTGGGGGAAATTAGGGGAAATTGGGGGGAAATTGGTGCGAATTGTTAAGGAAATCGGAAAACATGGTGTCAGCAAAGGAAAAACACCGAACACCGTGTGTCTCAAAGTTTTCCGCAAAAGGCAGCACAAAACCTCAGCCGGCAGAAAGAGGCGGCGGGAGGATTCGAGCCTGGGACCCCCGTTTCTCCAGACCCGCTCCCCGAAAACTACGTTTAGTGGAACGTCATCAAATTGCCGCGCGGTACGCGGGGGAGGGGGAGAGGGGGGGGGGGGTGGCGACCGAAAAACCATGCGTATTTGACGTGTCCGGAAAAAAACTAAGGGGGGGGTTATCCTCTATCCTCTCTTAGGTATCCAATAGTCCTCTCTTAGGTATCCGACACGCCGAACAATGTCGGCGGACTTATGCCATGGTCATGCAACATGCAAATGTCTTACTGCCATCTCTGCGACCCTCCCAGCCCGGGCAATTTCGGGCTGCGGCAGGCTATCCCTAGGCGTCCAGCCTGCTGGGCCCATCTCTGGAGGAGAGCTACGCGAGACCTTCACAACCAGCCTGGGCATGACGCTTGGATCTCCATACCAGGGCTTCGTTTCAGCTCAGCTTTTGGCTGGTGGCCGGGCTCACGAACTTGACAGCAATAAGTTCAATAAGCTTGCCGCGCGAAGGCACGGCGCATTGCTGGCTTTATTCAGTCTCATTCCAGTTGCCTGACGGAGGAGGCAGCGGTGAACTATTTTGAACAGTGATTCGTTGCAAGGGCCACGCAAGCAAGCACTACACAACCCTAATCCAGCCCCAAAGCAACCCATTTGGCGCATTTCGTCCGTCCAGCAAAGGAAAAGGAAAGGTGTCTCGCTGGCGACAGGGGAAGGGCCGGAGGGGCAAGGGAGTTTCCCGCAGCCATGATTATTGGGAAACCACTCATGCCAGTTTTCCTTCAATCGCGGAAGTGGCATTGGGAATTCAGCAACAGTAAAGTGGTCTTTCCAACTCCCCTGCCTTGCAAATCAGCGTGAAATTCAAAACGGAAGTCCCTCAAAGGAGACTCCTCCGGTGTTAAAGTGAGGATTTTGCTGGGTTCCAAGTTAAACAAGGGTCCCTCTTTACAGGCCACGGAGCTGCTTTGCGCTTTGCTGAGGTCGGAGCTCACGGTGGGTGGCAAGGGGTTCTTGGCAACTTGCCTGCGCATCACAGCCCCGTGTGCGTTTGCCACGAATCCCGGTCGCCATGGGCCACCTTTTAATTGGGCATGTCAAGACAGCAGTTGAAGCATCCAAAGGGCCTGTGAGCCGCTTGTGCTCTAACCCTGCCAGGAAACCACAGTAGCCGACCAAGTTGGCGGATCCATTTAGAGGTATTGAGGTATTGAAGGCTTATTTTGAGTGCCAAATAACGAAGCCGGGGGCAGAATGCCTCCATCAAATGTTCCGCCCGGAGGCGCTGAACCAAAGCTACCTGGGGACCCTCGGCTTCGACCAGTTGACCGAGATGGGCTGCGTAGCCAAAGGCGCCGCAGAAAGCGAGCCCCAGCCACCGTATACGTTTGAAAACTAAGGCAAGCCTTTCGTCCATGTCCACTAACGTGGAACCTACCAGAGACTCCCTTTTAGAGGAAAATTGTCTTCCATGACCTGCCGAGGGGGTAATGCAATTGCTAAGGGTACCAAGCTGTGCCTGACCGCCGCCACACCCGTCAAATGCCTTTTTGTTTCCGGTTTAGCCTGCAAAACAATTCCTTGTTTTGACCGTGTTTTGCAAGGCCAGCAGCACCTGGTTTAGCATTTTAGCATGTGCAAGTCTCTGCTTTGCTTGAGGCTGGTAATAAATGTGCTCCACCAACAATTTGAGGGGACCTACAAGAGACAGTTGCTAAGACAACCGTAGCCTTTGAGTTAGTAACAGTTAGTAACAGTTAGTAGTGTGTCGTATTGGTTTAGTATCGGTCCTCTTTGCTTCTCTTCCGCCCTCTTCCGTCCTCTCTGTTTAGTAGTGCTGAGTTTGGGGCTTTTGAAGCAGTAGAAAACAAACAATGATTAACAAGGTGGTGTTGGAAAAAACAAGTGGCTTGTTGGTGGGCTGGGCAAAAGCCAAGGTTGGTGAAGAGTTATGGTGAGTATTTGTTAATTTATTTGTTTAGGGGTGTGAGCATGTTTTGCAAGTTTTGTTTGTATGCCGTACCCTTTTTATGTTCCGCTTCTAACAAGTGTAGTATTGCTTCTTCTTTTTTTTACCTGCCTACCTTCTTCCTGGCTGTTTCTCTGCAGCAGGCCCTTAGATGGAACCGATTCTGACAGGTTGTAATTTATGGCCCCTGGCTGAAAAGCATGACGGCACAAGAGACAAAGACAGGAGAGAGGAAAATGAAGAGGAAGGGATCAAAAGAGAACAAAACACAAACGAGCAAGCAGAAGAGGAAGAGGACGATGATGAAAGAAACAAAGGAGAGAAAGAGAAGGAGACGGATAATGAGAAGGATGAAGAGGACAAAAAGGAACGAAAAGAAGGAAAGCAAGAATTAATTGCAGACAGCAAAACAGTAAAACAGAAAGAAATATAGGGAAGAAAGGAAGGGCATGACACGGAAAAAAGAACATCGTAGCGGAACGAAACAAATCGCAGAGAGAAGGGGAGAGAGAGAGAGAGAATTCAACGGAAGCAACGTGGCTGAGACTCTCTCTCTCTCTCTGAGAGAGGGAGTGAGAGAGAGAGAGAGAGAGAGAGCATCCTTAATTCCACCAACCTTGCAGTTGAATGCTGTGAACCCCTCGTAGCTTGAGCTGGTTCATGTGTCTTCCAACTTGAGCGGTTCGCCTGTTTCGCTTGCAGCAGGCACGGATGCGGGAGCGCTGCTGCGGAGCAACATGGGGGCCAAGAACATCTCTGCCCAGCTGATTCCAGAACAAGGAGGCTGGACGAATGTTGGCCCTGACAATCAATACCGAGATATTTTTGGGGTAGTCCTCTTTCTTCAATGCCAGCTGAGCTGAGCATGACCTGTCGGCCTGTCACCTCCCAACGGCTGAGGCCAAGGGGATTTGGAGCATGACTTGGATCATATGCTGAACGTCGCAGCAGGCTTCCTGCTCGGTCGCTTGGCACGGCAGAAATATGCCCAAAAGGCCCGTGAGACATGAGGCCCCTAGTGGGTGCACGTGGAACTCCTCAGGGCCATGTTTCTGGCACCCTTTCTGGTGCGTGTGGGAGGGGGGGGAGTTGGTTTCAGCCAAGCGTTGCCATATGGGTTCTGACAGCTTAGGAGCTTACCAAGAGGCACTCCATGCCGCCGGCCAAAAGCTGCTCATCAACAGAGCGATGGAGATGGCCAGGGCCTAGGCTTTCGGAGAAGAATAGCATGGGATGGATTTTGTGGTGAGCATCAGGCCTTGGGATGCCTCGATGAACTTGTTTGTTTAAAGTCGAGACGTAGTGTGAGCACCTGGCAAGGCGCTGGACGGAAGCACATCCAACATTCGACATGAACAATATGGGCTCGGTCGTGGTTGAACCGGCAGCCGCACTGAAGGTCAATTCCGGGCTGCAAGCGAAACTGCAGAATGCCGGCACATGCCCACCTCCTTTTGAAGCTGCTCGGAGCTGACTGGGCCGGGGCTTGCACCGGTGGAAGGGGGTTCAATAATGACTAAGATTGCACCAGAAAAAAGGTATTTGAGTCAGAAGCTTTCCTTTCCGTCCGAACGTTCCAGTCTGGGCAGGTGTCGGAATTTGCCTGCCCCTTTTAGATATCTTCAGGTAGTGTTGAAAGGGAAGCGGCAGGGAAACCAGGCAATTCTGTAGGTTCCATACTATAGTAATGCCCAGGCGCAGGCCTCCTACAGTAGGTCATGTTGGTTGAAGATTGGGCTGGATTGCAGTAAATTACAGCTTGGTCCGTCCTCTTACGTTTCCAGAAGGATACCTTGACAGGGGGCCTTTTCAAGCTACCGAATCCCTTCCATCAACTTCCACTATTGCATTCCCTACGGACATATGATACAGGGAATGGTGCCATCGACTTTGACCCTAGGGCCCTAGGCATGGGGCGGAGTGGTTTAAGGACTACAGCAACTTCACGCTCTCGGCCGTGGCACTGCTGATTTCCCTGGCGATGGTGCCCGGCGCAGCTGGAAACTCAGTTGCCTCCTGATCGAAAGCGCGAACAGCCAGGGTTGGAACACCCTCAATGTAGCAACCATGTGACATTTGAACATGACGTTCCGAAGAAGAAGAAGAAAACAACAGTGTACATGGCGTTCCGTTTTTGGTGATCAGGCTCATCATAGTTCCATCATGTATTTCTGACGTTCACGAATCCTGAGCGAAGATTCATACACAACTGAGCCACCGTGGGTCTGCCGACCATCTCGAGACGTTTCGCCCAGATGCTGGTTGCAGCGTGCACCAAGCGGTCACGGAAGGAGTCCAGGCAAGTGCAATTGTGCCAGGCAGGGCAGCGTTGCCGGGCTTTCGTTGAACAAAGAGCGGGGGATGTTTGTCTAAGTCTGTGTTCTGATAATTTTCAGGGGTGGTTTCCATTTAATGTGGGGGCCTCGATAATTAAGGGGAGTCCGTCCTCCCTCAAACAAATCTCCGGATTCAATGAGAAACCGCAAACACTATTTGGGGATCAGATGGGCCTTTCCTAATGAGTACTAGCTTAGTATTGGTTGAGTATTGCTTCGTGCTGCCTTAGTCCTCTGCAGTCCTCGCTTCCTAGTACTGTTTTTTGCATTGGTCAAGTATTCCTTTGAGCTGGCCCAGGTTTGCTTGGAGTTGGTTTAGTGTTGGTTTAGTAGTTTTATTGCTCCTGCCCGGAAAACGTTCGCACTATTGGGGACCCTTTTCTCATTGCCATCATTGCGACATATTGCGACGCTGAGATAAAATCGGGGAATAGCGGACAAGAAAAGTCAAGCCGATGTCCTTAACTATCCTTTGTGTAGTTGCAAACGCTCAGCCGACAAATGTCCAAGCGAGGGAGTATCTGACCACTAACTGCCTTTCTCCAACTTCCTTGTCTTCCTCATCCTCCTCATCCTCCTCCTCCTGCCTACACCGGGGCTGGCTGCGGAGTGTGCTGTGCTGGACTTTTCGCGGGGCCCGCGCTGCGGAGTGTGCTGCGCTGGACTTTTCGAAGGGCCAGACTTTTCGAAAGGCCAGACTTTTCAAGGGCCCACTCAATCCTATGTTTGCCCTCACTTTAGTGATTGCGCTTTATCCTCGGGACCTTGTGTTTTGCTCTGAGTTTTGGCGAAGGCGGCCGAAACTCTTTTGAGCACCGCTGTGCCGATACTACGGCGCCCAGCCAGCAAAGTAATTTGAGTTTACGAAGCTGTGTTTCTTGGATTGTGATAGTCATGCACAACCCCAAGGCCTCGGTCGGGAGGATGTTGGTCAAGGGCTTCCTCGCTTCTGGCTTTCATCAGGTCAGGTGGGGTAGGGCTGAATTCGGGCAGTCCTACAACCTGCTTCCCGCAAAGGACTCCCTGGTTTATACTTACTTGCGTTTCCTTTGGGATACGAGGTCGCCGCCCTACCAAGTCCGAAAGGCTCGTTCAAGCCCTCGCTTTCTGCAAGGGTGTTTTGAAGATAGATATGGACGCAGCGCGAAGGATCAAAGGCGCCTCGATTCCACTTGGCGGGCATCCGGTGTCGTCCAAAAAGACTGGCCTGAAATGGTTGGAGGCATCGCTGAAGACTCGATGTCTCCACGGCCTGTGTGCTGGTCGGGGCGACTAATGATGCCGGCGCGTTTGGTATCCGGCATCTGGAAGCTTGACGGAGACGATCAAGAATGTCCAGTTTCCAGATGCGGGCTCGTTGCAACTTCCAATAGGTTCCAGAAGAAGGAACTCTTCCGGGAGCAGATCCTGCGGAAGTGTTGCAAGTGCTTTGCCAAAGATCGTGGAGTCCTTTGCGTGGTTTTGCCAATGTCCTCCCACTGTTCGGGCCCGTCGGGCCCATCAAGCCCGTCGGGAAAGTGAAGCTTGTCGGGCCCGTCAAAGGCTATTTGATGCAGTCATGCACATGGGAAATTGAAGGTTTTCGAAGCAGTTGATCTTGACACGAGGCGGCTGTTGGCTGACAACCCACGCCAGGCACGGAGCAAGATCTGTCCAACTAGCCTACCTAGAGCATCCAATGATGTCCGTTGGACATCGTTTCTACAAACGACGCCGTCTGATGCCCCCTGTTGCGAATGATACACTTTGGCAGCAATTCAGCCGCGATGTGGTGAGAATTCGGCCGCGATTTGGCGAGAACAGCCGCGATTTGTAGGCCTGGCTGCGTTTGGCATCGTCAGACGCCGTTTGCGCAAAAAGGTGTCCAACGCACGACGTTGGATTGTCTAAGTAGTAGAAAGTTTTCTCAAGCTCACGCCCACGAACGCTCCCATCCCAGAAGCCAATGCCCTCCAAATCCCACCAGCACGGCCGCCTGCCAAAACTCAGAGCCCACATCCCACCAACACGCCCTGTTGAAAGCTCCCACACCCATCGCACCAGAGATGCTTTTCGGAAAAAGGCGCTTGAAGAGACGCTTGAAACGGGAGCTCTGGTTATGCTGGCGACACCGGCAAACAGGTTCAAACCTGACAGAAGCCCATGCTGCGCGTGTGTGTCTGCTCCACTTACCCGCCCTGGTGGCCTACTCATCTTTCTATCTGGCCATCTGCCTGCCTCTTCATCCACGCAGGTCTTTGTGCATCTATTCCTCTACCTGTCTTTTCGCTTATTGTCCATCCGTAGGTCAACGCGTCTGTGGAGTTTCAGTGTCCCTTACAGCACGGATTTCGATTCTACTGTTTTGAGAGCTGCATGCGTGCCAAGAGAACTGCCTTACCAGAAACAACCTCGCGGCGGTTAAGCGCCTGCCCTTATTGCTGAGCCCAAGCAAAGCAATATAAAGCAATTCCTCGCACTCGGCTCCTGCCATTATGGGTGCGCCCGCTGAACCGTGGCTTGCAGTCCATCTGGTGCTTTTTTTGGCGCTGTGCAATGTGAAGAAGGGGGTGATGAGCGCACAGCAGGTGCCCCAACGAAGAGGCCGGCCTCCTTCCGGTTTTTGCCACCCAGGAGAGGTGGCTGAGCGGAGGCTGTCTCAGGTTAGAAAGTACCTGAAGCTTGCGATTCAAATTTCACAGGACGAGGCGCTTCTGCAGTCCATCCATCCTGGTCTCAGGCCTTGCGTGAGACGCGATTTCTCCTCTTCAAGGCAATGATGGAAGATGCCCAAGTTTCAGACCCCTTGCAGTTTGACCACCTCGTGAAGGGCTTTCGCTTGGTTTCCCAGCAAGTGGCGCCCCGCCAGCATTTCATTAAACAGTGGGCCAGGAAAGCTGTGGCCGCTTCCTGTGCCAAGGTGGCTGCTGACGTGAAGATTGCAGCCACGGTCTGGGAAGAGACGCAGGAGCAGCCATTCTCGGAGAAGCAGCTTGATGAAAGGAACGATGGAAGATGGATTCCTTCCCGAAGATCGGCGTGGCTCAAGGGGACAAGATACCCAGTCCTTCCGGCGAGGATTCGATGGCGAGGATTCGTTTTTTTTTCAGCGCTGATTCGAGTTGACGAGGATTCGTCCAAAAAAGGCTTGACGAGGATTCGGGTCGGGTTGACGTGAATCCGTGTCAGCCGACGGTCAGCTGCGCACGCTTGTAGTATATTCGCTGAATTCTCGCACGGCTTGTCCTGCCATTTCCAATCGGGCATACGTATCTTGTGTTGGCGCAATTGGGTATAGGATGCTTCCGGCTCCTCCAATTTTGTTGCATGGTATGTCTTGCCATTTCAATATCGGGCACATCTTGTGCTGTCACAATTGAGTAGGATGCTTCGGGCTCCTCTAACAGCAAAAGCAAAAAAAAGCTGGAAGCCGCAGGCTCCTAAGAATGTGCGCTCGCAAGGCTCATAAGGTATTTGTTTTTTGACTCCCAGGAGATTCGCTGGCCATGAGCCGTCAAGCTGGATTTCCCCACTTAGGGCTTTCCATATAGGGACATGTCGGACCAGCACAACGTCTATGTTCTCCTGTGCAAGTGCGTCGCGCCAGAGGCTTTGGCCCTTGCCGTCCAGGGCACCGACCCACTCTTTCCAGTTAACAAGCCCACTCAGGAAGGCGTGGAGATCCACAAGAGTTTGCTGCAGGGCTTGCTCAGCGTCCAGCGGCACTGGTATCCAAAGGAGTTGGAGCAGCCCCTTCAAAAGTTCAACCAACTCCACCAGAAGAAGCTTTTCGAAGACAAGGGCCCTCGTGGCTTGAAAGCTCAAGCGCAAAGTCTGCTGGACATAATCAGTTTTGTAAACACAAAGCGCCGGAACTCTAGTACGCAGAAGCGCCAGCGGCCAGCGATCCAGGAGATTTTGGAGACTGCCTCTGGAAGCCCGTGCCGGGCGCTGACGTCTACCGAGTCATTCCCAGACAAGTCAGCAAAGCTGCCCCGGAAGTCTGAGAAAGAACCCACCGAGGAGAGCTTGCAGGATTTCTGGCAGGAGCTGGCAGAAGGGGAGTCGGTGCACTCGGTGGTGGATTTGCTGACTCAGACCAGTGAGAAGCCGGGGTCTTCTGACGACAAAGAGTCGGTCGTCTACACAGACTACTGCTCGGGCCTGCTGGTGAGAGCGCAGGCTAACTCAGTGGAATCGGCTGAAATGTTCGAAAAACATGGATCTCCGTGGCTTTGGGGCAGGTTTGGAGATGGGGCAGAGCACCCTTCAGAGGTACCAAAGCAGATCGACAGCCCCAAAAAGCGCACTGCCGCTGCAATGAAAAAGCCGGCAGCAATGAAAAGCCTGGCCGGCATGAAAAAGCCGGCTGCCGCCAAGGACGCAGGCTCAGTTTACATCACTCTGGCGTCAGACCAGTCGTACTTGCAGTTCAAGGACCCCGCCACTGGCAAAAAGCGTCTCTTGTGCGGAATCAGCAAGGCGCGGCGGGCGAACCACCACCTCATAGCCGTCGTGCGTGCTGAGCTCATGAAGCTAGACTTGCCTAGCATGTCCTTCGAGGAGGTCAAGGAAAAAAGCCTGACCATTCGAGAGCTCGCGGTGAACCGCGGGCATGCCAATAGTCCTCAGGACAGACTTTTAAAAAAGCACATGTGAGCCCAAATTTTGTTTGTTACTTGCCACGACTCGATCCGCTCTCCTGCCAACGCTAGGACGTGGACTAGAACGATCGTCGACCCACTCGAGCTCGACTCGAGACAGGAGACGCCCGGTTCGTGTCAAGGGGGAGTCAGGCCAGTGCCATGAATAGTCTGTTGTCCACATAGGCCTTGCTTTTGGTTTTCTTGAGTCAAAACATGTCTACTTTAGGAAGCCCCTAGCTCCTACATGCGCCTGCTTGCAAATCTTGATTGTGTTTGAATTCTTTGCAGCCATAGATCTTTGGTCACTTTGAAGTCCAGGAAGCCTTGGGCTCCTACATGCGTTTGCTTGCAAATCTT